GACCCGCAAGACAAAGATGCTGCCATCGGACTTAGTTTTTCCTTGTAATAATCTAAGTCCTTTTCATTGTAATCATAGACTAGTTTTCATCATTTTCATTTCAGTGTGCTTCTACAGCTTTATTAGGACTAGTCTTGTAATGTTGGTTTATTTTTTTTAAGCATTATTAAGGGGGACCAAACAATCAAACATTTCAATCAGCATTTTCTGGTGTCTCTCCCCCTCGACACCACATCATTGTAATCAGCATTTTCATTCAGCAATAAAATCATCATCATCATTCAAAACCCAATTCTCTCTCAGCTTCCGCAATTTGCTTACGACATTGGTTTTCCCGCACGGCACTGACAATCTAGTCTAGCGTGCGGCGAGGACCTCATTGGCGGACAGCAACCGCCCTGACATCGGTTGCTTAGCCTTACGTTGCCCTTCCAAAAATCATCAGGAAGGCGTTGCGTAACAGTACTAATGGTAACTTGACAAAACAAAACGCTTATAGTGGTGTCCTCCGCTTTAATTTCTTCCAAAACCATCCCAACTATCTCAAACAATTGCGGGCGCCACACCAACCATTCTCCTCCCAAAAAAAAGTCAGTCTTATCACTAATGCATCAACACATTTGCTATTATTACGAGTATTACGAGAAACGAGAGTAACAACCTTGAACCAGTCCACTGAAACAACTGTCTCAAAATCAAAACCCAAAACCGATCGAAGACATAAAAATGGGTTTGTGTGTCACCGATACAGCGCGAGCTTTAGCCTGTAGAGGCAGTAAAGGGGCACCAAATCTCAAACTTGTTTCAATATTCATGATATTCTTCACTAGTGTTATCGGCGTAACGTTACCGGTTTTTTTAGCCCGCTTGTTTCATGGGAAACCGGTTTACGATAAGACAATTCTAATAATCAAGTGCTTCGCGGCTGGTGTGATTCTTTCCACGTCGCTCGTTCACGTCCTTCCAGATGCCTTTAATACTCTTTCCGATTGTCAGGTTTCTTTCCGTCATCCATGGAAGGATTTCCCGTTTTCCGGTCTCATAACATTGATCGGTGTATTAATGGCATTGTTAGTTGACTTGACGGCGACTTCTCATGTGGAAAGTCATGGGCAGGCTGATCATAGTCAAAATCGTAATAAAGATTATACACCAGTTGTGACATGTGAAGAATTAGAAACGGTGAGTAAAAAAACGGATACTGGGGATATCATCGAGGAAGAGGAATTGGTGAAACTGAAGCAGAGATTGGTATCGCAGGTGTTGGAAATAGGAATAATTTTTCATTCTGTTATAATAGGGGTGACTCTGGGGATGTCTCGGAATGAGTGCACTTTAGACCGCTTGTGGCTGCACTATCCTTTCACCAGATATTTGAAGGAATGGGTCTTGGAGGTTGCATTGCTCAGGTTATTAACCATCATTTATTGCTTTTTCTAAATTGTGATACATGCTCTAAGCATTTAGCAATAGATATTCATATAAAATTCATGCTGCTAACAATATGTTCTTTTTTTAATTAATTAAGTATGAAAGATAGTCCCTCTATTCACATTCACTTTTACTTGAAATATATACTAAAAATTAATTTTGATTTTTACTTGTCACTTTACGCATATTAAAAGAAAGACAATTTTTTTTCATGTTGTACCCACAATATTTATTACTCATTTTAAATTATTTTCTCAAATCTAATAAAATATGTATCAATCAATACGGGTATCATGATAAATTATACACTTCATTTATTATTTCTTAAGGGGCCGAAAAGTCAAAACGTGCTAAGTAAAAGTAAACGGAGGGAGTACTTTTAAAAAGATGCTCGATTGAAATTCTACTACCCAAGTAATTAATGAGTTTTTATGCATTAACCGTGAAACTTTTTTATACAATCACATCTTTAAAAGGCCTCTGTCTGTAGCTCTCTGAAATAAGTATTAAATGGTTAACTTCAAAAATGGTGTGAAATTTATTATAACTGTAATTAAACTAATAATATAAAATTTTATTTATATATATTTTAAAGCTTCATCTAAGGATTGTCAAAAGGGAATTATAGGTTTGGTCCTATATTTGTTCGCTATATCCTATTGTTCAATAAGAAAAAGAAACTGCATATGCGGACAAGTGTTTGGCAGGTAAAGTACAAATTTCAAATACAAGGATGAGAACTTAATTAACTTAAAATTTCATAGCATGTAATAAACGTTAATAGAATAAAAATTAATAGTAATGCTTATTACAGGCGGGATTTTGCTTTGGAACGAAAGCCTACATGAGCTTCATGTTCTCAGTGACAACACCAATGGTTATAGTATTGGGGATGATAATGTTCTCAATAACAGGGTACGACGACACAAGCCCAAATGCATTAATCCTTGAAGGTTTACTGGGATCTTTGTCTTCTGGTATACTTATATATATGGCTCTCGTTGATCTTATTGCTCTTGATTTCTTTCACAACAAAGTGATGAGTGGCCAACCATTCTTGAAAAAGGCATCTTTTTTAGCTCTTGTTCTTGGTTCTACATCTATGTCAATCCTTGCTCTTTGGGCTTGAAAATAATAAACTTGTGTATCCTTAGTTGTTAGCTTTTTGGAACTAGAAACTTAGGTTTTGTCATTAATTTTGTCCGTGTATTTTTATATCCTTTGCAGACAAACATAGATACCTCGGCAAGGAAAATAAAATAATAAAACTATTTCTTTTTTCTTTTTTTTTTTTACAAACTAGGAATTTATTTCATGAGAAATTACACACTAGAGTAGTTTTGATCCAGAGGATCATTACATAGAGAGGATAACCCATGCACAACATTTTGGTTACCAAATTTTGCCAGATGCCTACAACCATTAGAAGAAACAGTTTTAACATGAACGTCTCTCACCTTGTCCGCCACATCCTGGTCGTGACATCAGTTGGAGGATTAACTAGACGATAGAGTTTATTGATACTAGGAAGCATGTATGCCTGCTTTGCCAAATGATGAGCCACTTCATTGCCTTGACGAAAGTTATGCTGGATCACTATCATGCCCATTCCGAAGATTAACCACCTGCATGTATTAATGATAGAGTCATAAATTATACAGCCATTGTTAATATAGATAATTACCTGCGTGGCGTCTGTTTCCACCTCTAAAGGCTGCAGCTTCATGTCATGAGCAAGATGTAGTCCTTGGTAGAGGGCTTGTAGTTCGGTTTGGATGGGTGAATTTGCATAAGTTTTCATTTGGAATCCTAGGACCCATTCCCCACTGGAGCTCCTAAAAACCCCTCCTACTTCTCCATGTGTCCCCCCCCACCCACCCCCACCCTCACCCCTCTTTGAATGCTCCGTCTATGTTTAATTTGTACCAACCTGTACATGGTGCTGAGCCAACTCTTATTTGAATTTGCCTGTCTAGATTAGTCTCACAGTCAGTCAATAGCTTCTATTGAGTGGCTTGATTTAATATAAAGGGTATGTAAATTCCTTTCGAAGTGTTGTTTATGTTATTGTTATTTCTACTTAGTCAGATACACCAAATGACAAATAGGAATACATTAGATCAAGAGATGTGGTTACTAGGTATGCATGGAGCTAGCTCCCTAACATAGTTTAGCCAGTCATTATTGTTCGGACATTTAATCACTAGACCTAATTGTTCCCATAATTTTTTGGCCAAAAAGCATCCCATAAATATATGACTAATATCTTCAGTATCCTTTCTACAAATAGTAGACAATTCGTTAATGTTCATTCTTATGCGTGCCAAATGATATCTACAAGGTAATCTATTATGGTGACAAAGCCAGAAGAAGTGTTTGATTTTTTTAAAGCACATGAGTTTACAGATCCAATTAAATTTTTTCTGTGTAGGAGCACTTTTGTCAATTAAGTCATAGCACGAATTTGTTGTGAAGGTACCATTATTGCTCATACCCCATATTAAGGTGTCCTTGTTAGCCCCTAGGTCGATAATGATGGCAGTAATCCTTCCTTGTATACCAGTAGGGATATTAAACGAAATTTCCCCCCAAGTCCCAAACGTTGTTAGAAATAATATTTTTAACTGATACAGTAGTTTCATGTTTGTTGAGGGGTCTTGTAACATAATTCCTAAGAGTACAGTTAGGGATCAACTTACTATCCCAAATATTAATTATGATGGATAGACCATGCTACTTCTTGTTGGCAATTAACCATCATGTGGTAATGCTTTTTCAGATAAAGGAAGTGTTGTATTTAGAATGATTACTATATTTGTTGGTGATGACATGTGCCCAAAGGTAAAGAAGGATTATTAGCTAATCTCCATGGTAGACCAGCTAGTATGGCTAAATTTTTTGATTTAGCTTTCTTTATTCCCAATCCACCATATTCTTTTTTGTTTGTGACTATATCCCAATTAAGAAGATGTAGTTTCTTTTTGGTATCAGTAGTACCCCATACGAAATTCCTTTGTAATTTATCAATTATTTTAAGATTTTTGGGGGATAGGAGGATATATTGCATATAGTAAGTTGGGAGGCTTGAAAGGGATGATGAAATCAGAGTGACTCTCCGTACTAAGTTCATACAATTTGTTTTCCAGCCTGATAATATAGCACGCATATTATCGATAATGTGTTGGTAGTCCTTGTGTGTAGGATTCTCATTAATTATTGGAAAACCTAAATATTTTCAAAAGGACGTATTACTTTTGATACCTAATCCTATGGAGATGTTGGCAATATAGTCTTTAGTACAATATTTGGAGAAAATAATTCTAGATTTACTGTAGTTGATATTTTGTCCAGATATTTCACAAAAAAAGTCTAGACCCTTACGGATGGTGGAACATATTTTGCTATTTGATTTTCCCATTAGAACTAGATCATCTGCAAAGAATAAGTGTGACAAATGGGGGCCTTTGGAACATAGTTTAATGGTATCCCATCCATGATGTCAACTTGATGGTATATATACCTAGATAGCATTTCCATACATAAGATAAAAATATATGGAGATATCGGGTCGCTTTGCCTGATACCTCTACTAGGGCAGAAGTAGTTTGTTTTGGATCTATTTACTAGAACTGCTATTGAGCTTGTAGTGATGCAAGACAAAATAAGTTTAGATATCTTTGTAGGGAACTTAAAGTATAATAATATTCATTAAATAAATGACCATTCCAATTTATCGAAAAATTTTTCTAGATCGATCTTGACTAACATGTCTCCAACTTTACCACTAGTTTTTTTAAAATGGTTAGTTACTTCCTGGATAATAATGGCATTATCATTCGCTCTCCTATTTTTAATGAAACTTGATTGGGAAGGGCTAATTAGCTTGTCCAAGAAAGATTTTAGTCTATTTACTATAATTTTTGTGATAATTTTATAAATAGTGTTGCACATGGCTATTAGCCTGAAATTGTTTAGGTTATTTGCATTGGAAAATTTTGAAATTAGACCCAAGTATGTGATATTTATTTCACTAGGGATTCCATTTTCATCGAATATTTTGTGGCAGAAGGTTCAGACTGATTTACCTACGATATGCCAATATCTTTTGTAGAAAAAAGGGTGCAAACCGTCGGGACCAGGTAACTTAAATGGTTTGAAGGAGAACAAGGCTGAATTGATTTCACTATCTAGTAATGGTTTTTCTAGCGCAGAGAGATCTATGTTGTCAAAGCAAGCGGTACCCAGCTTAATGCTGGACTAATTTGTTAAAAAGTGGTTAGTAGTGAACACAGATTTGAAATGGTCATGAGCATAATAAAGAAGATCTTTTTGATTGTCAATCCAATTACCTTGAGCATTCTTAAAAAAACTGATATGATTTTATCTTTTTCTATTGGATGATGCTATGTGAAAACATTTAGTGTTTGCATCTCCATCGTTAAGCCAATTAATACGAGATCTAAGTTTTCAATAATCCTCTTCCAATTTGAGGATATTATTGAATTCATTTGTTAGGAATTGTTCAAGATCTTATAAGAAATAATTGTGTCCATAATTGATAGAATTTTGGATACCAGCTAGTCGTGCTAGGATCCTTTTTTATTTTTCAGAATGCTACCAAAAGTTGATTTTCCCCATACTATGATATTTTTAGTAAAAGAATTTGTAGCTTCTAGGAGGTCTTTATTATTCAATTTTGATGCCACCACATTGGGGAATTCAGGATGCGTACACCATATGTTTTCTAACCTAATGGGTCAGTTTGAATTATTGTAAGGGTTATTTAATTTGACTAGAATAGGATTATGGTCGGAATATATTTTGGGAAGGTGGGTGACTGTGGCATTAGGGAATGTTTGTAGCCACTCTTCGTTGACAAACACTCAATCAAGCCTTTCCATAATAAGGCCTTTTTTTTCTTCTCATATGATTTGATCATGTAAACTTGCATCCCTTAAAATCTAGGTCAATGAGATTACATTTATTAACATAGTTCCATATCTTAGAAGATCTAGTTAGTTTCATAGGTCTTCCCCCCATCTTTTTATTACTGTTAAAAATATCATTAAAATCTCCACCTACCAACCAAGTGTGAGCACGTGATTTTTGCCTCACAAGAACTACTCCTAAAGAAATCACAAATAATTTTTCTTTGTATGCAATTTTTAGAATTTATGTGGTATTTTTGGATAATTACTTGTGTCTTGTCCGTGAATGTTTACTTTGTTATAGTTAAATGAAAAATAAAATAAAAATACATGTTGCATGCATATCTAGGATTCAATTATGCATTTAAGAATTAATTAAACAGTCATTTAGCTCTAAAAAAGAAAATCACAAAAAATATGCATTTATCCTATTTTTTCATTTAAATGTGTCATTGTGTGATTAATGTTTTGTCTTGTGTGTTAATGGTTGCTAAAGGGTAATTAATATTTTGTAAGGTTAATATTGATTTTTTTATTCAAATTAGGAAGTTTAGTAATTAGGAATTAAAAGAAAATGAAAAAAAAGGAAGTGTAAACAAGGAGAAAGCCTGGTTGGGCCATTTCAATTTGGGCCAAAATCAGGCCCAAGTCTCACCTTCACCCGGTCCAGACCAGCCAGCCTCGAAGACAGGCAAAACGACGTAGTGTGATGTCGAAACTACGTCGTTTCGTCGTCAAAAATCACAACCGTCCACCCCAAATCAATCCAACGGTCCCTAACGACCAACCCTAACCCATAAGCAGCCCCGACCCATTTCGCCCACACCGGTC